TTCAGCAAAGTGGAAATTCTAAAAGCTTCATACAGACCTCTCTCCCAGATTATTAAAAAAAAAAACCAAACCCAAAATACATGCCTCTTTTACCACAATACATAGCTTAGTTACTGATTTTGGGGTTTGTAGAGCTTTTTTGTAATAGCAGGATTATAGGGCAAAAAAAATTGGAATGGAAGAGTATTATAAATTATACCAGTGTACCTAAACAAAAATAACTGAATTAACAACCAACAGCTTAGCTTCTTATCAAAATGTATGCGTTCATCGACAAGGCAAGCCAAAACAAAATATATCGTCCTTCACCATTTTTCTTTAAAGGTATAAAAGAGTGATCGAAGTCACGTGTGGCAGACATCAGCCAGTGTGTTCCTGGAAGGTATTCACATACTATGGCAACAGCATCTGAACCCGATAAGAAAAGCACAGCAAAGCAGTGGCCAACGTGCCAAATAACTCAGTAAATATTTGCATTTAACTACAATCTTAAAAGATAATCAGCATACTTAATAGGCATGTCATTCAATGACAAGTGGTGTGGTGACTGGTCTAGTAGCTTTATCTCTTCTTGACTTTCCTCAGCTTATGCACTCATACATACCCTTTTAATCTTCATAGGTATCACAGGATGAAATTTTAAACATCTACTTGCCATTACGTAGCATAGCGTACCTTCTGTTATGGAAGAGACACAGTACTAAGTTACTGGATGACAAAGAAAATTCAAAAAAACATTTACCTTCAGGTTGCCAGCAGCAGTGAGTACTGACTTCACAGCTCTCATTCCATAGTCATAATGGTGCTGCGAAGACAACTGCTCTGAACACAGACGATATGTAGCTACAATTTTTACAGATAGAGGTCGAGCAGTAACAAAACCACAAGAATACAGAACAATCTCTGCAATCATGGCATAATCAGGAACCATCATAGCTACTGTTCTAAAGAGAGCCTATTAAACATATATATATGAAAAATCACATCAGAAAAAGTTATACTACATTATTATATACAATTTTTTCTGCAATTACATATAATACTATTCTTTCATTAATTCATTAATACAGTGACAGCCAATTAAATGTAACTACCACATTTATGACTACAATATATTTAATGGTTTTCCATAAATGCTTTATTTTCCATTGTGACAATTAACAGTTTTAGGTCATTTTCATTTGAGATTAACAACAGAAACACATAAAATACCACAAGCTCCAGAAGGAATAGGGGGCTGCAATACAACTGCCACAAATAATGTGATGCTGTCAAAACCCAAATCTTCACTACATTTGCTAGGAAGGACCGTTTAAGACTAAGTTTTAAAATAATTACAGGCTACATTTGAAAAGCCTTTGGTCCATCTCTCTGATAAACCCGCTATATAATATTTTTATCAATTAGTATTCTTAGCGAGCTCTTTACATTACTAAAAATGTAGTAACTAACCAGCACTGTTTAGCTGCAGCCTATGCTTCAATTTTACCGTTATACTACCAAAAAGAGCATCAGAACACTTTTAAACACACCAAACTTTTGCTACTTCTGTTATTCTGCCAGAAAGTTTTTTAAATTATCCTCTTTCATCTATACAAGTACGGTTTTTGAATCCTGCATTCATACTATGTGTTAGCAAGTAAACACAGTTTTGAGAAATATATACAAAAACTGTATTTTTCTACGTTTCTGTTAATTTATCAAGATATTTGGTTATTCTATGGACACAGAACAAACGTATTAAAAGGGAAAGAAAGGATGTAGCAGTCTTGTAAAAATCACTTGGTAATAAATGGAATATACATCTCTTACATTAAAAACACCACAAGCCCTTTCAGATCAAACCAAAAGATCAAAATAAATATAAATTCATTTAAAAACCACCTTTTTATTCAATATTAAGATATCATTCATTTCTTGTACACTATAAAGTATTCCTTTTATTTTTTGAATTTTCAGGTGCTTAGCCAAGAAATAAAGTGGGGGTTTTTCTTAACTTCCTTTCCTTTTTTTCACCCTGACAGACAGACCTTGAATCAAGCAACCACATCCTGATGTTTTAAAATGTAGTTTATTCCTATTTTTCATTCTGATTATCCATTCTAATGTCTTTTTCTGCTGAGAGGAAATGATTTTTATACTAGTGTGATCAAAAACTGAAGGTAACCAATATTAAACATTCTTAATAATGACTATTTGACAAAAAGTGATTTTTTTTTTAACTTTCTGTATTAGCTATTAAAAGTAATAAAATTACAGTGTTATAATACCTTAAGATTATCAGGAAGCTCTGAACGCCCAGCATAGCCAGGATTCATGGTAATGAAGACAGCACATGTAGGGTTCAGTTTCAGTTCAGTTCCTTCAAACACTATTAATTCAGATCCTGAATTAATGCCTACGGAGAAAAAAAAATGTCATTGCTGGGCAGGTTTTGTTGCATCTTTATTCTTTGTCATATTCAAGTGAAAGATATGATTAAAATAACAGGTTACCTCTTTGGATAGTAAAAATCTGCTGAGCAACCACAGAGAGTACTTCCAAATCAATCCTGTTGAATTCATCAAAGCAAGCCCATGCCCCACAACACAATAAACCCTAGAAGAGACAAATGCATGACTAATTAATAGGTAGCTACTTATTTTGGACATGCTGATCAAAACAACTCTGCAATTAGAAAAAGTTTTAATGTTCAAAGAAAGGACTTATATCCATGATCCAGAGCACTAATTTCAAAAAAAAAAAAATAAAAAAAAAAATCACTCCAGATAGAGTTTGTTTCAAAAAGAATTACAGAAATTTAAAAATCAGGTTTGCTTGGGGAAAAAAAAAAAAAAAAAGACTAAAAACCTGGTACAAACTGTTCCAAAACCCTTACTCTCCTGTCATATGCAGAGTGCCTATCAAATACACACATTTTGCATGTTTTACCTTTACAGTCAGTATTTTACAACTGAAGCAAGGGGCAAGATTTCAGCACTAAACAAGCCTCAAAAAAACCCACTCTTCCTTTGTATCTATGCTAACAGGATTCAGAGTGACAAAGGCAACATAAGGATTTCTGCACAGCTAAAATTAATGCATCTTATGGCATATCATGTTACCTAAAGTGCAACTAAAGAATAATTTCTTTTCCTACAGTTCTGGTTAATTCATAGGGCTTTTCTGAGATATGCTCCCCAAATGCTACTGTACTGCCTCTACAGCACTGATAGTCTTTCTATGGCATCTCATACTTCGTTAACAGTAATTCTAAAATTACCATTTAAGACAGAGAATTTTGCTTTCATCTTTCTAAATAAAAACTTCTAATTTAGTTTATTTTGGTGAACTTCCATCATGTTGAATTTTGAAGACAAATCACATCATTCCAATGCCATCTCTGACTCAGAAAGGAAGAAAAATGATGAGAAAAAAGCATACTTGCTCTATTTTTGTATCATTCCAGTCCAAACCAGGACTGGACTATAAGACACAGATGTCCATTCAGGACATATTTTCATATTACAGAGCTGTCTAATCAGGCTAACCATTCTAATACTGAAATTAATATATGCTTGATTTGTATAATATAATTAATCTTTCCAGTTTATTTTGAGATTAGATTAAACCTTTAGTCCCCCAAAATTTGCAATCATCTATTAAAAATGCACTCATTTAAATTCCATCCATATTGCCTATTTAAAGCAAATAAAATCATTATCGTATATTTTATTGTCAAAGCACATAAACATTTTGGTGTCTCGGATGGATTCTTACTTACAGTAAGAGCTACCTACACAATACTAGCATTCCATGACAGCCTGGAAATGGAGAAAGATACATTTACAATACCTTAAGACCACTTCAAGTGCCAAAATAATTAAAGAGCTATAATATAATTGAGAATATGACCTCCGAGATTTATCCAAACCTTAAAAAATTTTCCTAATGCAAGGTAATCCAATCCATCAGAACAATTGAAAACCACACACTGTTTAGCTACAGCCTTTGCTAAATCTTTTGTGGTTTCTGTTTTTCCAGTTCCAGCAGGACCTTCAGGGGCACCTCCAAGATGTAGATGTAGTGCACCAAATAAGGTTCTGGAAATAAAATAAGATTTTTAAGAAGTTATTATATTTTTATGTCTTTTTACAGCTGCTCTAACTTTTAACGGAAACATTTAAAAATCTATTTCATGTCTGCATTTTCCTATGATGGTACCATTTACTTGCTTCTGGCCAGATGCAGTTTACAAATGTGTAGCAATGTATAAAGTTTACTAGAAGTTCACAGTAGAGAGTAGTTTACTTTCTACTTTCTAAATCTAAACCCCCTCCTAATTTATCACTACTCATAGTGTCACAAAAGATTAATTTTATCATAAATTTGAATTAAAATATTCATACAGGACCAATTCTATTCCACCAAAAGAAACATATCCTATTCTAATTATGCCTATTAGAATTAAAAAAAATACAATTCTGGTGTCATCTATTCACAGGACTAATTAAAATATCTCAACTAAATAAATTCTTGCTAATACAGTCCATCTAGTAACTCACAGTTTTACCTGTAGCATCTGTCTGTAAGTGGAGTAATAACCAGCCTTGGGGTATTGCCAAGATATTCGTATCCATACCTCAGTCCAGCATTAATCATCTTTGTTTGTAGATGCCCTTCCTAAGAAACAAGGCATTAATTTTATAGATTAAATATTAAAAAAAAAAAAAAACCACATCCACAACTCAACACTATTTCTCAAGTTGGTAAACAAACCTGAAGCTGTTAGAAACAACTATGTGGCAGACTACTGATTGCTCTGACACACTATTTCCACTGTGACTCAAACAAAAAAACCCAAAAAAGCCAACAACAAAAAGATCATTTTTTACAGGAACTGTTACCTAAGAAAAGATCCTACTAACCATATTGCAGAGTAGAACTGTCTTGTGTGGCTACTTAGAAAGTTAACCGACTTTCTAAAAGGTAAACAGAAGTAATCATGACCAATAGCTGTAGTTATGGTCATTCTGATGACTCTGATACAGCAGTGTTTTATGCCCACATATACATTTCTCTAAATTTCACATGCGATGTCTTCTGTATTATGGGAAATCTTGTCTAGATGAATGTAAAACATTGTATCGTGCTATTATTCATTACACTGTTATTTTTTCCAATAAATGTAATGCACAAATAAAATAATATTGACAATACATCAGATTAAAACCCCTAACTGAAAATTTTCATCCCTACAGCATTCTCCATCCTGCAGAAAGAGAAAACCAAAATACAGTCTTTGAGTGAACAAATTTTGTCTGTAAACTCCCCCTGCAAATTCAGAAAATGTACTGAGACTCAGCAGTGACAAAAAAAAAGTAATTTTAACTAAAAACTGTTTACAACTGGCTGCTGGCCATTCTAGTTGGCAATCCATAAAATGATTGGTTATAGGTATTCTCTTATCAGCAGAAATTCTCATAGTGGTGTAACCATTCTCTGTGTCAGCAAGCAAGCAGAAATTGAAAACCTGTGAACAGAAATTACCTTCTAATAGGATTGAGAGGTATCACTTACCTCCCAGTAGTACCTAAGCTGACTTAACCATTCAAAGTCATTCTCATCATTGACTTTCTTGCTTACTAGAGATGCAAGAACATCCCTAGCATGAACATCAAGCACAACAAGTGCTCCTAGAGTCACTCGATTCTGCATCGACAGCTTTCCTCGCACCAAGGTGACAATGTCCTCAATCTGTCTATTATTCTGTTCCAGAAAATCCTCTAGTGCCTGCAAAAATTTTTAAAAATTAAGAAACTGCATGTCTAGTCTAAGGCATGATTATTTTTTGTTATATTACTTTTATTTATCTGTATTAAAAAGTTCCTTCTCACTGTAATAATAGTACAATGTCCTTCATTCACTGGTAGTTCAAATAGGGTTTTGTTTTGGTTTTCTACTTTTACAGAACCATAAGTAAAACATGAATCAGGAAACAAAACAGCATACACTATTTTCTTCCTGGAACACAGGAAATAGTCCTTATCTTTTTATACATTTCATATTCAGAAGAGGAAAATGCTACACGTTTTAAAGATCTACTTATATGTATAAAATATGCTCTCTATGGTTAAGGGACAACGTCACATCAGAAAAACACCTTTATGTCCCACAACAATTAGAAGCAATAACACCTATAATTCAAAAATGTTAACAAAAAAATGCATTTTTCTACAATTTTTTCAGTTTATTGACTTCTAGTTGCAGTCTGTGTTCAATTAGCTTAATAATTTCTTTCATGCAGTCAGTTACAGTTTCTTTCATGCTAATAAGTTGCTAGTAAACAGCAAGGGCCCAGTTAAGGAAAGCGCTTGTGTCACGACAGTACTTAGATGTGATGAAGTGCCTTACTGAATTGAAATTAAAAGGTGGGAATCGACCTCAGTAATACATTCACACCAAAGCATGTTCCTCCACAGGAGTGGCTTCTACTTGTCTGTTGAAACACTTATCTAGTCCTGTTTTAGATTTTTCTCCCTGCTAGCCCTCTGCTCCTCTCCGAACAAAGTGCCACTGGTAACTGTCAACAGATTATGATGATTTTGAGATCTCTCATCTCAGCTAGTTATTTTCCACACATTAAGTTTGGATAATCATCTGCTTAGTATGACTTCCTTTTATTTATGAGAACAAAGCAGTAAACATAGAATTCAAAAGCAGTTCAACTTGTACAGTTTTGCATTATAAGTTCTGACCAGGACAAAATCTGAAATATCTCACTCAAGCCAGGAATAATAACCCACTTGCTTACCACCAAGCTTTCCTCAGCAAACATGAGATATAATTTTAGGTGCAGAATATGTCCTCAACTCAGGTATCAGTAACATTCCTTGGTGCTGTCCTGACCGCGTGACACATGGTCCACAAGACAATGATCTCCAAATTTATGAAATACCTCTGTTTTATACAGCACCTTAGTCCATTATTTAGTTTTAATAAGAATTTTGCACCTTTGATTTACGTACAGCAGATATTTGTTGTAAACAATTAACTAAAAAATGTTTGAAAGGGAGCACATGAGTGACTTAAATGATATTGGCATCCTGTCCCAGAAAACACTGAAGTGCTTCAGGCAGAATGCAGTACTTTTGGCTTCTCACATGGTTGCTGTTTGTCATGTTTCTTATGCTTTAGTGTACGATATAGGAATAGCAAACAGATAGAACATAGAAAGCTGTAAGATTGAGAGTTCTCCCTGCCACAGATTTGTGACTGGTTGTCAGGAGATGCAAATGCCTCTCTCACTGCTTCACTACATACAAGCCTCTTTCCACAGCACAATAAAGATTCTCAGGCTGAAGCCAGATGAGCAGACTTCCCGCTACAACAGAATTTGAGTGAAAGCTACAGGAAGGACAGGCTTCCCTGCACACTCACGTACAGAAAAGGCTTGATACACACCATCACAAGAGCTTTTGTCTAGGCTCAGAACTCTGTAACAAACATTCCCAAAAACTAATATAACCCTTGCTTAACTTCCTCTTTTATTCACTAACTACAGACTCATTAAGGTAAGATTGCCTGCCTTTTTTTTTTTTTTTTTACCTAAAATCTCTAAGATTAGAATTAGTGTCTCTCCTTCCTGAAAGTCTCTCACCAATTGAGAGTAAATGGTGCAGTATGTAGAAGCTTTATTTCTTTTCCCAGGAAACTGAGGATCTCCTTTATTACTGGAAGAATAAAACATTTTCAAAACTCTTAAAATCTTCAGATATGTTGCAAGATTAACTCCTTGTATTAGCAGATAACGTCCTCCTCTTCCTTTAATTCCCTTTTCCATGACACCCAGAAGCTTCTTTCCCTTGTTTGTCAGAATGCAGCTGCTCAAAAAAGCCACTATTACCAGGAGCCATGGCTTAAACTTGTGAAAAAGCAGAAAAATGCTATACAGTCTTAAAATACTACTCCATATATGAATTAAAGATCAAACTGAATTTTGTGTTTGTGGCACAGCTCAGCTATATATGAACAGGGAGAATCCAAACCCATAATACTGTAAAAGTTTTTTCAATTTATACGTCATTGCAAAAAATAGGAATGAAAAGGAGAGTATTATGAAGTATCACAAAGTTATAACTTTATGTATAAATGTTCAAAACTTGATGTTTCCTTCTGTCCAAACACTAGAAAACAAAAATCTAGTTGCCTTATCTGATGGTGGCAATTCTGGAACACTTCCAAACACAACTGAGAGCATTAAGCCTTAGTGATAAAAAGAAGAAAGGTTCTACCAAACACATATCCTGAATCTTAATTCAGTGCCTTAAGTACCTTTATTCCCACTAGTTTTACTTAACAGTTTATAAATTCTGTACCAGTCAGGCATATATATTCATTATTTGACAAAGGTGAGGATGGTATGTATCTTCTAATGCCAGTCCTAGCCCATCTTCATAAAAAGCACTGAACATTAATGAAGGTAAGTTAGACTTCTGAACTTCTTGAACAGACAAGCTATGCTAGTCCATGCCACCCGAATACACCACTGGGCTGCTTTCACAGAAACATATAAACTACATGTTGAGCTAAACAGAATGCACTCTGACAGTGCAGAAGCATTGGTGTCTAAATCCAAAAGGAAATATTAACTTCAAGGTCTTCAAGGATCACATTTCAGGCAGATCTTTAAAGTAGACACTCAAAAGCTTAACTGTTACATCGAGCACCTATTCATCCAGAAAGGTTATTACCAAAGGTCTGATTTACTACTGCATTACATCAATGACATAAATTTAAATTTAAAGTATTCTTACCTTTTGGCCATTTCTAATAGACATCTGTACTTCCATGGTCCAGAAGGTTTGGGATACACAAAGAACTGTTTGTCCAGGCCACTCTCTTACCCAATTAACACGTGGAGTTTTTGGATAAGCTTCAAGTGCATCCCCAATGACCTAGATGGGTGAAAAGCACACTATAGCTACACGCAAAAATAGGTAATGTTCAGCTTTAGAATTAATTTAGGTTATGTTGTATTACGGAGAATAAATCAAGATCTAGATTCAGCCTCAAATTCAACTCTATAATACCGACATCTTGCAAGCAAATCGCTCAGTAAAGCTCTGTAGAGTTCAAAATATAAATTGAATTATGTGATCTCACAAAATTTCTGAGAACTGATTTCACAACACATTCTAAAATTATTCTTGCCACCAGATACTTAAAATTTTCTAGCTCCATCTACAATGAAACTAGGAAACAGGTACAAATACAGTTTAGTTAAAAGTAATATCCCAAATTGAAAGTTCTTTCATCCATCCATTCTAGTAAAAACCCAGAGCTTTTAATTTTGCAGGTTATATTATTTAAACTTATATCTAACTTCAAATGTATTTTCTAATAATGGAATTATTAATGCAGTTCTAGCACCACTCAAGGATAATCCAAATGAAATCAAAACTTGCACTGGAAAAAAACTTCCGATCGATACCAACAGATTATTTTCCTGCCATTACCAAAACCCCATCAGGAATAAAGTCTTATTATCAACAAACTCCTCAATACATTTAGATAAACTCAGACAAGCAGTATGAACCTGAGTGAAAATCTGCCATTTGTTTTGCAGTTCCAAGCCTTTTTGCTTTTAACAATCTATGCATAAATAGTATCAATAAAAAATACATTTATGAGGCCAAAATGTGTCTGTATTGACATTAAAACTACATAAACGTTATCTGGTTTAGATCATTATAGAACTTCTGTAGTCAAGGCTAAATGCAGACAAATGTTGCTTAACGATTTCCTCTTCAAGCAGCTCAGTTTTTCCATGTCTGATATGGACCAAATAGATCGGGTTATTCACTGCCTTCTGTACTGCTATGCCACTACAATAATTAAACTGTTAAATTTTAACAGGGAAAGTGTGTGCACACTTAATTACCTCACTTAACCCTAAAAAGGACCACAAAAAAGAAGATGACAGAGAAAGTTAAATATACAACACAATTATAAGACACTGTAAAGACTAGAATTATATAATCTGAAGAGTTAAGCGGCTTTATTAAGATAGTCATAATTAAGAGGAACATTAAAAAAAACCAAACATGGGCAATATTTCAGTTTAATCCTGTCGTTTAATACTACATCAAGTGTAGAACAATCTTTGGCAAAAGAATCTTTGGTGCAAACATTTTTTACTCTACTATTTAAGTTTAAAGAATTTTAGAGAATTTTACGACCAGAAATTGACATCAGAACTGAAAAAATATAACCTTTAAAAACTGAATTCATTGTTTTGGCATTTATGCTAGGTGCAAACAATAAAAAGTGATTCCAGTATGTTAACATTTACTGAAGAAATCAATGCTGACTAACATTATCCTAGAAAATGAGACAGTACGACCTGTTACCTTGTGGACAGACTTCAGCATAGCTGCCTCCAGTTCAACCAGCCATTTTTCAACTTGACCTCTAGCTTCTGATGTCGAGATTGTCTCTATGAGTTCCACAGTCTCTCCTTCACTACTTTTAATGTGGGTAATATCTAATACATCAGTAAATTCCACTCTTGCAATTCCTTCAAAACACTTTTTCAAGTGAGGTTGTACTCTAGAAGACAAAACTAGTACTAAACAGTTTCTGACAGTTTTTTTTCTTGACAATACTAGCAAAGATGTAATTAAAAAAAAAATACTTCTGAACAATTTAACAATCATTTTAAGTTTGTTTAAAAAAGTTCATCCTCAACAATAAATCTTGTGTACTAGCCCCTGCAAGATGCTTACCACAATGTTTTTTGAAGATCACTTTAAAGATGTAAAACATTGCTTATACTCTCTGTAACAGATGAACTATTTATTCCTTCTCAGAAAACTATAGCAAACATTAAAGAATTTGAGTAAAGCAACCAAGTACAACCTTAACACAATAGCTTGTAATAAATAAAAAAAAATATTTTTCTTCACAAGATCTCTTGCCCTGTTCATTGCATTGTATGACTATTTCTCCGTGACTGAGTTGGTATTTTATTTTTCATTTTCATTCTTATTTTTGCATGACCTTCCACTGCATTCACTGCATGCTATCAAGTCTGTATATTGGGAATCAAACCCCAGTTCCTCTGTTTATAGTGAAGGCTATATTGCTTAACAAGATCGCTTCTGCAGTAATCTTTCCAGAGTTAACGCCACTCAGTATAAGAAGGACTTATTAATACCGAGTTATGCTTTTTGCAGTTTAATCCTGAATGAGGCTGGGGAGCAGAAATCCCAAAGAGAATTAAAATATGGCAAAAAACTTCTAAAATACTTTTAATTAGGACTGCCCCTAAAAAGGTACAACTCAAGTCTGTGGTATACAGGTTCCATCTGATATTCAACTTTCTACTGGGAAAAATCAGGTATGTTATTTTCACAATGAACTACAATACGGACTTCTGATTCTTCTGAAAACCAGTGTATGGAAGGTCACTAGTTTAGAAAACAGAACTGAATTTAATTATCTATATTAAAAATTACCCCGTATTCACCTATCACAAAATCTAACCAAGCAGATACTTAATACCATAACCATCAGTGAGCAAAAAAAGAGTTCTGGGTTCAGAGAAACCATATGACAAGACTACCTGCATGCACTGTGAGTCACAAATACATCTATTAAATACTATCATACCGTGTAGGATCTTTGGTCTCTGAAAGAATCCCAAGGAGTTCATCATTAGATAAAAAAAAGAATCTGGGGAAAAACAGGCGCTTCTTCTCCAGGTATTCATTAAGTCCCTTGAGAATTAGCTCCAGAAATTCATTGCACTTCCTCAATTTTTCCAACATCCTGTCTATTATTGCTACTCTCAGCACATGTTTGTCCTGGAAAATAAATTATTCCACATAAAAAAGTTAATGCCTTCTCAAGTAAATCACCACACAGCACCGCAGCAAGTTTTAAGCAAAATGAACCTTTATTTCAAATTCTGCTTCAATTAAACTATTGTCACATTTACAATTTACTAACCTTCTTCATTGCCAGGGTTCACTAGAAAAGCATTTAGGCAGTTGGTATTAAAATAAATTTTTCAAATCATAGAGTCATAGAATCACAGATTTCAGCCAGTAACCTGACTGCTGTTTAGCTTCAATTTGGAGAATTTAGTAATAAACTCCAAGTTCAGTTTCAGTTCAAAAACTCAAAACATTTTGAAATTATTTGCAATGTGCATTCAGCTCTGGTTCAATTCCCTGCTCATGTTACACATATACTTCCAATCTACTGAAAAAAAACAGAATTGTACGTTTATCTAATTGATCTTCACGGGGGTATACCTCCCTAATACAATACTCATAGTGTTCCTTTGTACATGAAATACATTTACCTTCTGTTACTTGCATCTTGCATCATACCAAACCAGAACAAACTTAATAACTACATATACTTTTAATCTATACATAGACAATTAAGCTGTCAGCATACAAACATAATTCATAACTGGTTTTATAAAAAAGTTTTTATTGTAAACAACCATATATCTATATGTTGTCAACAGAAAGAGGTTTTGTTCCCTTTTATAGCATATTTATCATAAACAAATACAATAAGTGCAACTGGTAAAACAAATCAAAGCAGGATTCTTCCTGCTTGTTTTTTCTTTCACATGAGAAAAAGTCAGGAAAAAAATATTTATGCTTTAACATAGATTTCCTATTTACGGTTCTGTTAAGGCATGAAGAAACGAAGGGAATGCCATCATTCTCAGTCATTCAAAACATAAGTGTAACTTATTTTGTCAGGGACATTGTCAGTGTTAATTAGAGGAAAAAAAGTATCAAGAAAATAGTATAAAACAAGTGTATAAAAATAGGTTGAGTACCCTGTTAAAAGGCCATCACTAACTCCTAGTTTCTAAATATAATTTTTAACATATCACAGGTAGCGGACAAGTGGACATTATGAGAAGTGGAAATTAATTTATTAAGTAATTTAACCCTCATTAATGTGCACTGCCTAAATGAGATATTTAAAATTAAGGAACAATATATGATTATTCAAATTAGTGACAAAGAGCTAAGCAAATAAAGAAATTTCATAATACACAACAATTTTATAATACAACTGCATATAAATGCAAAAAAGCACACTGAAGTTGGCTTTATGCTTTAAGAAAGACCATTCATATAGACTGAGGGACCGCATTCTTTTAAGCCATGAAACTCAAACACTGCATTTGTGGAAGCAGAGTGCCATCTTTTGGAAAATAATGACTACTTGGTTAGCCAAAATTAACTTGAGATTGTTAAACTTACATTCTGGCATTTACACTCTCCTGTACAAACAAAAGATGATTCTTTTTTCTGCCAGTAACATCATACATTATGTTCAAAAAAATACTTTGTATTTCATTAACACTGAATATCTGAATTAGAAGATTTTATCAAAATGGATCATCCAGCACACAATGTTCAGAAACACAATATACTTAACAAAATTCTGAAATTCTTGCCCTTTTCCATTTTTGCCCATTTTCTTCCCCAAAATGCATGCTATTGATTTCACAGCTCTATGGGACAAATTCCCGATTTTCTTCTAAATCAGAAGAAAGAAAAACAGAGAAAGAAGGGAAGGGAGAGTGTAAGACAGAAGGAGAAAAAAAGAGAGATGGGGGGAGAAATAGAAGGAGAGAAAAGGAACAAGAAAGAATAAAAAAAATAATTAAAAAATAACTTTATTTTTCAAGTGACCAACCTGAATTACCAAGAAATGAAGCAAATAGTTATTTTTGTATACTACATATTTTGTGTATTCCTACATAAAAACCATATCTACAATCTGAAAAGAGCAAAAGCTTTTAGACTGAACGAAGATTTTTGCATTTGTCCTAATTACCTAATGGATCTCTGATAGTTCTGCAAAGGCATGAGACAGATGAAAATAAAGCTTCTGATTTTTTCCTTCAAACTGCAACCTGATGTCCCTGCCTTGGAAAATAGTGGACCTCATAAATCTTCTCAAGTCTGTTGAATAGTTTAGTAAGCCCAGTTAAAAAAACATTAAAAATGCAACATCCTACTAGACATGTCCTTGATATTAGGGAACTTTTTCAGAATGAATGCAGTTTTCTCTAATCATTATTAGAATCATTAGAATTATATAATAGGATCACCAGAATTATTAGTCCCTGAGGAACAGAATTTGTAGACCGTGCATTCAAACCACTGATCATGTAACTGCTGAAAAATCAACTGTGCCAGTTTCAGATATTACCTCTTCCTCACTAGTAGAACCTCTTTGCTAGAAACTATTGACATCTCAGAAGTCAGCAGAAGAGATGGTAGGAGGGTTCTTCACCCAGTTAGGTGGGCAAATACAACAAATCTAACCCGATTCAAGGCTTGAGAACATCTAACTACTGAAGCAAAGAGTATTTGCATAGTCTCATGTATTGATCCTAATAACAGTGCTAACTTTCAGAAAGTATCAAATAAGCAGCAGATTGGGAAGACAGTAACTTTTTGAACTGCCAGATGTGTGCAGTGATGGTGTCTGACAATGGCCTTATATACTGATTTATAGTGGATCAGAATAGCAATTTTGAAGCAAGTTTAATATCAAAGCAGTTTAAAGTTACAGAGGCCATTCAATATGAAAACAGCATTTTTCAAAGGCAAAAATCAGTGTAAAATTTCATTGATTCAGGACAATTGGCCTACAGTGCCAGGATGATCTAGTAAATGTGTATGTTTGGTGGCCCTGCCAGGCAGGGGGGTTGGAACTACATGATCCTTGAGGTCCGTTCCAACCCGGGTCATTCTATGATTCTATGATTCTATGATGATCATTGTTATATTACTTTCTTTGTATGCTGCTTAATTTCACTCACCAGAATGTCACATGGCCTATGAGAAAAGATTGGGAGAGCTGGACCTGTTAATCTTGGTGAAGCGGACATTAAGGTAGAAATTAATCGTAGCCAGCAACTACATGAAGGACAACTGAAAAAAACAGAGCCAACTTCTCCACAGTGACAGTTGGGCAACAAGGAGCAACAGGCAAAAATCTTTGCTTGGGAGATTCAGCTTGGACATTAGGAAAAAATTATTCACTAGGAAGGAACAGCAACACTGAAGTCTCTAGAGCTAATCTAGAATTCTCTGTCCTTAAAGATTTTTAAATTTGTCTAAACAAAGCTGTGATTGACCTTACACAGTGTTGGCAAAAGTTCTGCTTTTAGAAAGAAGTTAGACTAACTGAACTCTGGTGGCCCCTCCCAATCAATGCTATGATTCTATGTGAAACAGTTCTCCAAAATAATTTTTAAAAGAATCTAAGAAAGAGGGCTAAGATGAAACTGAAAACAGATTACTTTGTTATGAGAAGCAATTTTTTTTTTTTTTTTTGGTACATACTATAAATTCTTAAGACAGCAGGACTTACCTGAAAAACTTCCTTCATTAAGTCTTTCCATGTCTTAACCACAGTACTGAATCTTCTACCTTCCTCAGGCATCTGAGCCATGATGTCAGGAGAACTGAAAATTGGCTCCAAATAAAGCCAATTAGCCTGAACCTTCAGCCATTCATCCAGGATCTCCTGTACTAACAACAGCTTTCCTTCCCATTCCCTATAAAATATCATTAGTTCAAATGCATTAATTAATGCTTCCAGTAAAACATTATTGGATCTCTGACAATTCGCATGTTTAGAAGCAAGTGCAACAGGTATAAATCCTAAAATTGCAGTAGAATATCATATTCACCTAGTCTGATTTCCTGCATAACAAAGTCCACATTAATTTCTGCAACTGTATCATCTGTCAGGTTGATTGTAGGATTTCATTAAATTAGGTTAACCCATTAAATAGACTAGCAGTATCAGTGAATACACACAGCACACACTTTAGCATGTAAAAGTATCTGTGGACAAATTCACTTCAAATTCATTTGAGTATGTAATCTGGTTTCTGGCATACACCAAATCCCAGACTACTATTTCTAACTATTTAATAGGATGGACAGGCTAAAATACAAAAGACAGACACGAAAATAACCTAAACTACTAAACCAAAAATATGTTGACATTGTCCTAAAAAGACATGTGGTCTTAATTGAAGATTTCAAGTAGTAAATAGTAAATAGTCCAATCATTAAGTCACATTTTATTTCTGACTTGAAATTCCAAATGTGGATGTTAGATACATTTGTCTGATAGAGTCCTTCAATATTACTGCACACCACTATGGGTACACAATATTATAATTCAATAGCTATTCAATCTTTCCTTTTGATAGCCAAAAATTTAAGACCCTTTAGTCTATCATTTTTTCTAAGTCTCTTCAATTTTTCTGCATTGGTTTAAAATTTTTAACACCACCATTTAACACTTCTTACTATCTCACCAATATCAGAGAGATGTGATATTGTCAGTTCTCTAATGTAATTGGCATTCTTAATTCAAAGAATATATATAAAAATAAAACGCTATTTATAATCCTATAACAAGTACATATATTCTCATTTCCTGTATAAAAACAGTGAGTATCATTTTTTACAACTCTTATATCACTGCACAGTACAGATAGAATTATTATAAAAAGTGCATGCTGTTAAATTATATATTGTATAGATGAACCACGGCAATAATTTTATCAACAGGACACTCATACGTGGGCTGCACTGAGTTCTGTAAAACGATACATGTGAAAACACATTGCACTGAGTTCTGTAAAATTATACATGTGAAAACACATTTATCTTCTTTCTTCCTTCATTTAGCTGCCACAGATTCTAAAAAGACAGCTTTGCTTGCATGTACGTTTCTCCTCCACTCAAAGTCCCTCTTTCATCTTTTAGGTATTGATACCTCATCTCTGGTGATTTTGCTTCTACCAAGAGACAGAGAAAAATGCAGCTTTCCAAGAGGAAAAAGAGGCAAGTCAGTTAATTTGCTTACACCAAATATACACCAATATTAAACTGGAATTTGGAATAATTGAGAAAGTAAACATTGGGCAATCGCCTAGATCTCAAAGACTGAACTAATAGCAATACCTTATATTACTACAAATGCTGTCAGTCACCAAAAAACTGATGAAATTACCATGGTGTGCTTACTCTTTTTAAATAGGCAAAACCTACCATTTTACATTAATAAGGAAGAAACTCTATACTACAATACAGTAGTAATTAGAGGATGAATACTTACTGGAACATACATGTATGTATATATATATATGTATGTATTAATATTTATTGAACATGTGCTGAAATCTGAAATAGCATTTTTGCAGGTTACTGGGAGTTCAGAGATAACTATGGAGCTAGAGAATTACAGCCAAACTTTAGATGAAAGATTTTTGATTTTCCCCAATATGGCTATGTTTGAGGGATTTAAGAAGCTAGTAAAGTATTTATTGAGGAGAGAGACAAAATCAGATTAAAATCTCTGCTCAAGGGTGGAAGTGTAGAATTTTTAACCTGCAATGCTAAATTTATGAATTTCATTTTCTGCATTAGAAAAAAAAAACACAAACTCATCACTTCCCTGAAATTTGTCTTGATTTTCTTAATCTCCCTTACATAAACTCTAATATTTTTAATTACTGAAGAGCTAAAAGATTCAGTAGCTTTATAATTTAGGAGAAAGCTTAGACTATATTATCTTAGTCTACAACCTTTCCACCTACGCCTCCGTTATGTTGCATCTGGTAAAACAAAGGTAATGTTACGATGCATCTGGTACCTTAAGTACCAGAGCACCTTAAAAATGTTTATCAACTTTTCCAATGCATTAGCACTTCCCATGTCATTACTTAAAAGTAAAAATTAGCTTTATGGGATTAAAGAGGGTGTAGCTGACATAGGACAAACGCTTTAGCTCTTTAAAATGAAATTAACTGCTTAAGGAAGATAAACAAAAGCATTTTAAGTCCCTATGCTTTAGATTAAGCAGAAAATATTTCTTACTTGGTAACATTACTTGGTGGCTTTCTATTAGGAAAAAAAATTACCTTGTTCTCTTTTCATAATGCTTAATGAATGGAGATCCTCTCATAGTCTGAGTTTTGACAATGTGGTCATCCAGTAACATCTGAATGTCATCTACAGATGACAAAATATGGGTTCCTGTGTCTCTATAGGCAAGAAGAGTGAACTCCATTTGATCCCATTCAGAAATCATTTTCGTTAAAGCTTTCTCAAATGAATGTTCTTTGCTGGCTTTTTCACTGATGGTCTCAAACTCTTCTAGGAATGGTTCAAGATTCAAGTTAATATATGACAAGAGATTTAAGTCTTCAGAAGGAGACAGTGGTAAACCAGCAATTTTTGACATCTCCTCCCAGTGTCTTTCTTGCAAACCAGGATTGCAAATCACCTGAATTAGAGGAATATGGTATCTGAACTCCTCTACTTTTGATTTAACTTGTCTTGTTATTGCTAACGCATTTGGAGAATTGTGGAAGGCTTTTTCGAGTTTATACAATCCGTGCCAGTAGCTTCCTACATCTGCCTCTACTTTGTCTGGATCCACTTCTGCAAATGGTCCCTCTGTCCAGTCTTGATGTTTTTTGTTGAATTCAACAGTCATCTCATAGAGATGAAGATATGGAGCAAGAGTATTCCGGATGGTTTTATGCTGAGGGTACTGGGATGTTGGCCATCCAAACGACTCTTCTTCTGAATTCAGCTGATCAATCTGTTGAGACAAAAATGAGGTCAGAAATACAAACAAAGCTGTCCATGATACCAGGTCCTTACCACAGGGATTAGGGTTTTCTAGTGTCTTCAACAAGCTTCAAATTAATTTTTGAGTTACTAAACCAGTCTATTATGTAATTGCTGCCACTGACTGCAGCTTAAGCAATCTTTAACATTAACAGCTCACCATTCATGATAGTCAATAGAGGAATATAGTTAGAGGTTTGAAATGGTACCTGGGCATTCCTCTATAGCTTGCAGTACCATGGAGACTTTAACAGACAGGAGGCAATAATGAACATCAGGAATTGCACTTCCAAGAACATAAAAGTATAATTCCTATGCAAACATACATAAACTTAATTTACTCTTTCACTATGCAAAGCACTGCCATATTAACTCAAGATCATATAGTAACAAATTACTGTGCTCAGTAAATTTGCAGTTTAAATCGCAAATCACCTAAAAATATTTCATAGTTGAATTAAGAATTATTTTGCCACATCTCAGTAACTGTATTAATAAGCAAACTGTTGATAACATAAATATTAAGATGTACAATTTACACTATTGGATTAATTTAGACTATAATCGATACCTTATCAGCAGCAAGATCCAAGTTTGCATTTAACACTTGAGCTTTCTTCAAATACCTGTTGACTTCCTGAACATCTCCAAACATGCTAAATTCTTCAACCTGCTTAGAGTAGCTTTTCAGTTCCTCAACAAATTGTTCACAGCGTATCTAATTAAACAGCAAGCAAGCACATAATCATTTTCAAAAATCATAATAAATTACTGTAAAAACAAAGGAATAACTATTCTGATTTGTCATAGTAGGCTGCTTTATACTTGCAGAAAATCCAAGACATCCAACATATTTGCACAAGTATCTATTCCACCCAAATTACAGAATTTGCCCTGAATCTTACTGTTACCTGCAGTGACTTGTTGGGCTGACAGACTTGACTTTGGATTCTGTGTCATAGGACACAGTTGGACATAGAAATTCCTACTTTCTGCAATGGATGTAGTCAGCAGGCTAATAATAGAAAGCTAAATTGAAATGACTAGTATATCTCAAATTAAAATAGAATAACAGGATTAATCAGATGACAGACAAAGCTAAACAGTTTCACAAGACAGAACTGTCTCTGGTCTTAAAGCCACACAGTTCAAGGACAGGTTTTTCCTTGTATATACAACTCCACAACACATATTTCACATTGAGTACCAGTAGTGGTCAATGTCTGAAACCAAGCATCAAACTATCTAAAGCAATAACACGTTTCAAGATAACAGAGTCTATGCTGCACATCTACTTATAACACAGTAACACTTACCAGCTACTTCTTTAAACATACTGCATAAATATAGAAGCTCACTATCTCAAAATATGCATGATCTAAGACAAAATGATGATGAGACTAAAGAGCACAAGAAAATCAAAGCAGACAGCTATACAGGCAGTAACTGTAACAGATCAGCAGCCTAGTAATTAGCAATCCTTGTACAGACCCCATCGCTTAGATAATATAACAAATTGCACTGTAAAAGCCTAGTAAATTTCTAACAGAGATAAAATACATGTAAAGTATAAGAGATTAAATAATAAAAATAAAACGAACCTGAATCAAGATGCACACTTATGTCATAAAATTACCTTTGTCGACATTATCCTAACAGCAAAATCACACTTACAAATAAATGCAGATTTTTTTTGAGCTAACATAGAAATTTCATATCCTGCCACTGACTCCAGAGGGACTGCTTATGTGCATAAATCAAGCCATGTACATGTCCTTAAAGGATCTATCTGAATTCTACTATTTCACATACAGACAACTTTCATCAACATCATTGGACGTTCTGTAATCAAAGAGCTTTCAGAGTGCAAAATGTGAGATGTCGCTTGTCTTGTAGGACTCATGGATATGTGAAAAGCAAATGAGAGGAAAGCAGGAAAAAATTAGATAATAGCAAGAATAATATAAAAAAAATGTACTTCAAACTTCTTTTAAAAATATTGGGGAAAATAAAAGGTTATTCCATCCATTATTTCATGTCCTGTATGTAATTAAAAATTAGTAGCTCAAGGATTTTTAAAATATTGCCATTACAAACCTTAAGACTATCTTGTAATTGCTCTGTTCTTTCTTGAATTATCTTTCTGTGCTCTTCAAAAATACCTGGCATTCGTGCATGCCATTGAAAAACATTACTGTTCAGTCGAATGTCTGCTGGTGAAAAGTTGACACATTCTACCAGGAAAGCAACACAATTTAAAGAATAGGCTAATTTCTGCTCCAATTCAAGCATGTCACACGTTTCCACTTTCTGCATAGAGGCCTGGGGAATAGAAATTAAAAGGGAAGATATTTTTATGTAATGTAACACCAAAATAATGACTGATGTAGTTAATACTTCAAAAACTTATTTTTTACAAGGAAAATGACATAAAATTAGAAATACATAATCTGAAAAGGTGTTTGGAATGGCATGGTATTATCCATTTTCAGAGCAGACAACTTGTTAATACAACTGCCTTATTACCTATTTTATTGAATAGAAGTCAAAAGAATGCATGAAGCTGTATGCACAAAGGTTTGGAATAATGGAAACCAATCCAGACAGCTTAAGTGTTTTAAGTCTTGCAGGTTTGGGAACTAAAGCATGGTACAACCAAGGAAAAATCAGTAAAATAACTACAAAAGAACATGCTTCAGAAAGGGAAGCACTGGATGGCCCAATGTAAGATTAGGTTTCCCCTAGCAGTAAGAATATAAGCTATGTAGACAGCCGCTGTCCTGCTCATTGTGATTAAAATAAAAATTATGCTGTTCTTTCAGATCTCAAGAGCTGGCAGTAAACTGCGTTGATACACATAGCATTCAGTATGGTACTCACACAGAACAGCAACAAAGCCCAGTTTAAACAATAATCCATAATGAAGCACTCTGAAAGCTTCTTAACAAGAAAAAAATCTATATTAGTAAAAATGTTGGCCAGTTCAATAGATCAATAGAACACCAGTACATGTAAATATTACTTGACATCCATCAGTTGAAGATACAGGATTCTATGATTCTATGACACAACATGTTATCACTGGAAACATTTTTAGGTGGGGATAAATTGTCCAGTAAATCTATGCTTCTGCTCTTAACAGCAGTTTCTATGCTTCAGAATATATTTATTGCTCTAGATCTAGAGAACATTTGGCTATTAAAAAATAGCCTAAACAAAGACTGATACAGCTTTTCAGCAATGAGATGGAAGAACTATTAGAAGGAGTTTGATGCTTTCATAATATTACACGCTACACATGATAACAATGTGTTTATTCTCCAACACAAAATTATAGCATAACATGAACGCATTTTAAAGGCACTGCATTCTCAGCACATTGTTCAACTTCTGGACATTTTGATTTTTTACTTGAAAAAATCACTCCACTTACATCTTATGTTAAACTTAACTGTAACAAAAGTTCAAATCACTCAGATCCAAATTCAGCCAACCACTCAGGCATCCAATTTATTTTAAGCACACATCTATACTCCTCACATTTAATATTGAGCACATACATTAGAACTTTGCTGAACATCAAGAGCCCAAGACACATTACATTTCAAGTGTGAATATAAGTGCTTTGCTGAACTGGAGCCTGAATTCATCAAAGAAACAGCGGGGTTTTGATTACAGAAGTGGTATTTGTAAGTGAGGAGATGGGATTTTACAGTTACTGAACTGAAAACCCTATATCCACTAAATTTGAAATGACCATTCAACAAAAGATATAAAGGCAGAATTACTTCATACAACTTGCCAATGAGTGTTTTTTAAAGTTTTCTTGGGGAGAATTAAACATGTATTACATTTCAGGTTTCAACTCTTTGACTAGTTTAGGATATTGGGAATTGATATTGAGTCTTCCACATCTAATTCGATTACTTGAATTTAATTCACAAGAACCAATGGATATTCACTGTTTAATTACCCTATCTGTTCAGAAGCCTGAAGAACACAGTCTAAATTTAATTCTACTGGCATGTTGCCGACACTACAGAAATTACTTGTTATCTGCTTACACTAGCTAGATAGGGACAGAAATAAAACTATGTGCTTATTCCAAGTGATTACATGCAAACACTTTGCTTCATGAAAATCAGTAACAAAACCTCCAGGTAATACCTATATTACTAACTGAATACCTATATTACTAACAGGTTCAACCAGCATTTCAGACAGACACATTGCTTGCTAGCATGCTACCCTACAGCAGTGGTCTCCAACTTTCTTGATCACACATCCTTATCAGTAAGAAATTTTTGAGCATGCACCCCCAATATATCAATATTTTTTTCTAGATTATACAAGCATACTACTGTACTAAAATATTATGTACACAATAAAATATGCACATAAGTTGAAAAGTGATTAAAGATGAAATAAAAAATATTTTAAATAATTTTTGTCTAAAAATTTTACAGAAACCTTTTTGCTTTCACTAATACTATTGTTACGTGTGATTGAATATGCTTCATTAATCTTGGTCTAATACTTTGAGATTCAGAGATTCAAAGGTCTGGTTCTAAGTTCAGTTTACTTCAATACTTCGTTTTAATGGCTGGCACCGCTTAAAAAAAAAAAAAAAAGCCCTCAAAGATGCATAGATTCAAATTGAAGAACTGCATCATTGTCTGCTCTTCATAAATAATGATCCCATCCACCAATCATGCAAAGGTTTTTGTTGAAAATCATCTAGTAAATTTCCATCTTCCCTCATGTCACTCATTTTTTCTTGCAAATTAACATTTTGCATTTTTAACAAATGTGTTCAAAACCCACTGAAATATTTTGTAAGATTTTTAAACAGGTTAGAAAACTCTATTTCCAAGTTTTTAAATTGTACATACAAGAGGGGGGTTTTTTTGTTTGTTTATTTTTTTTGTGTACATACAAGAGGGGGTTTTTTTTGTTTGTTTTTTTTGGGGGGGGGGAGCACAGAGTTTTCAGTAGCAAAATCACTGAACAATAGAAACATTTCCAAACATCCATTTTCATATGCTCTTCCCATATCAAGATTTTCTTCTGAAAAGTAGTTAACTCATTCTTAAAGATGTCACCTTTACCTTGAAGGACAGATTAAGTGCCCTTATTTTACCAAAAATATCTGCTAGGTAGCATACTACTGACAGCCACTTGTCATCACAGATAAGGTTCAGCAAAATTAGGAACACTTGTATTTTTGTAAAATAAAAATGCATGACCAATCTTAAAGTTCAACAACTCCTTTAAATAAGGAATTTGCCACAAGATAACCAGCAAACCTCTGCACAGTACAAAAGATTTTCATAGTAACACCCCATCTCAATACAAATTATTATGGAGAATTAAGATTAAAGATCTTTGTTTAAAGATCTTGTTTTATAAAACTAACCACATTGATGATGTCCTGCAGAACTTCATGCACTTCTGGCTCCAACGTCTCTGCCAAGTTTATGAATGATGCAGTGAATGAATTTCATGTGTGGTGTTACCTCTGAACCTTAGCCCAGAATCCTTTTTTTCCTTCTGGTCAAAGAAGCCACTCCATTGGTAGCTACACTTGAACAGTTTTTCCATAAAGCACTGTTTTTATTAAAGAAGCAATTTGCTGATGAGAATATATTGTCTCCAATACATCTTTCCTTTAGTGGCTCAGAATAAGGTAGCTCTTCATGTATTTCATAACTGAAACAGAATCTAGCCAATATGGTAAACTGAGATATGTTAAACATCTATACTTTCATCCAGCTGTATAGCCAATCTACCACACTGCATAATTTGTTCTAATACTTGTTTCTACAACTCTTCAGCAATGTTTTCCATGCACCTTGCAAACAGCATTTGCTAACAAAGAAATGCATTTTAGTTTGTCACTATATTGTTTTTCATGTATTATTTCAGACATTTTTATCATAGCAGGAAGAACAAGTGTTTCCCCAATGGTAGTGGCTTTTTCTCTTACACTATTAAATAAGAAGGAGCTTCTGAGTCTTCTAAGCATGGACCATTACATTTTGTAGAGTACCCACCACAGTATCACATGACTTGAAACTTCACTGAAAAAAACTGTAGAGTTTCTCTTCATTCAAATCACGGACGGTTGGTTTTCACATGTCTTAAGTGTCATGGTTCCCTACTATCATTAACTAATATCTCAGGCACAACAGACATTTCAGGCAAGGTTCGTCATTTAACAATAGCAGATAGAAATTTCTAAGTCTTCCTGATAATTTTTAGGTTTTTTGGACAACTTGTCAAACCTGATTAGACCATCACTATTGTTACCTCGTAACGTGGATGACCAAGAGCTCATATTAGAAGCATCAGCTCTGCTATTTTCTTCTTGGTCACTTGTGCTCACTTTATTAGTATCATCTTTAATCTGCAGTTTCTTTGAAGGAATCTTTTTGAGTCACTTGCCCATTTTGTGAGGTTTTAGTTAGATAACATAATCTGTAAATCTACTGAACTGGGCACACAAACCACAATACATAGTAACATGCTGAAAGCAAGTGACAAGTGAAGGTGCCTCTGTGAATTCCTCTGCATTGTGGAACACCCACTCTCCTCAGAACACCTCACATACGTACATGACACAGGACATACAGACTGAGGCATCAGTGTCAATCTGTATATTAAATATTAGTAAAGCTTAATTTCTTTCTCACTTTTTTAAGATAAATCTCCTCAGGACACCTCACATACGTACATGACACAGGACCCTCTGACATACAGACTGAGCATCAGTGTCAATCTGTATATTAAATATTAGTAAAGCTTAATTTCTTTCTCACTTTTTTAAGATAAAAAAATAAATAGAAGTTTAGTATTTCCTTCATACACTCCAATGGATCATCTTGTGTGCCCCCTGGACTGCTCGCCTCCCACTTTGGAGACAGCTGCCCTACAGGCTTTTGGTCCATACCAACCAACATTCTTGACAGTAATGCCACTATATAGGGCAAGCCACAGCAGAGACAAAGGATTGTTCCAAAGAGGCAATCTGGCAATGTCTGGCAACCATGATATTTTGCTGGGACAAAGAGTTTAGCTGTATATGTAAGAGCCAGGCTATGAGATTTAGTCTCAGAGCCAAAGACGACCTGTCCTTTTCTATTCTGTAATACAGATATAGCACCAGTGACTTTAACAAGGCTAGAATCATACCTGTAAAGGTGGTAACTTGCATATGCTACTGCTTAAGGCCAGAGCGATAGCATTGATAGCTACTTCATGCTTGGACTCATAAAAAAATAAGTACCTTTAATTCCACTAGTTCCTCTGTATTAGACGGAGCAGTATGGGCTTTTTCTGATATTCTCTCAAACTCATCACAGAGTCTGAAAAATACATCAAATAACCAGTTTGGCATGTGTGCTTTGTTTTAATTATCCTTGGACAAATCACATAAATTTATAACAGCAAAAATGAGATTAACATATCCTTTAAGGATTAAAAAAATTCAACATTGGAAAAAAAAAATCAGGCGCATTTCAATACGCATTCTCAGTTTAAGCATTACCTCATATTTATGTCTTGAAGATCTTTTAACATTTTCGAAATAACTTTTTCACAAATATTATCTGCTCGCTTTGCCAAAGCACTTATTAATTCATCACAATGTAATTCAAACATTCCTAGCCGGAGACACTGTAATACAAATATAACAGTTGTCAGAACATTGAACAGCTTTTACCTATTTTGTCTCACTGTCTTAAGGAGAATGTCAGGGATCTCACCTAGGAATTTAGTCAAATCATAAAATGTTCTTAAAACTTTTATGTGAAGAGGGAAAGAAAAAAGCTATAGTTGTGAATAACTGTTCTTCCACATCTGCACATAAAACTTCATATAAATCTTACTTCTATTGCTTTTTACCTTGACAAATAATCTACTTCCTCATAAAGGAAGGTCATCTACTGTCCGTAGCAGTGGTTGTTGTTTGGTTAAATTAGAGTTTGAGATACATCTGAAACATGGTAAACTTGCTCTACTGTTAGAGACAAGTGACATTCCTTACGATTAAAAAGGGACTCTGCCTCTCAGTGATTCTCTGAATCCAATGCTTTTTTTGACCCATGGCCAAGTCAGCTTGACTTCTACACACAGAAGCCCTCATGAAGTCCCAAAACAATTTCTAGCAAAAATAACTTAAGTCTCACTTAAGAATGGCCAATAGACCAACTAACTCTTGAAAAACTCTTTTTCTGAAAACATAAATTTTATTCCACTTTATGTCACAGATAATTATCACCTTTGACTGACAACATTCTTAGCGCAAAATCAACATTAAAATTATAACAATTATCTCTTTATGAATATTATTATAACTTACCTTCCTAGAAGTGTACTTTATTTCCTTAGAAAGTTCCTGGTACTTTATAATTTCCATTTTCATTTCTTCAAACGTATGTTCCTCTGTCAGGAACTGATCAATATCTTGTTCAGCTTGTTTGTTTACCAGGAAGCTGTACTTATCATACAGCTTGAGATGTTTCACAGGTGCAGCACTTTCTTTGATAATTTTTTCTCTGATCCTTTTCTTATGTTCATCCAAGATCTCATCTAGGATAACAGGCTTCAAGACAGTTGATGAAGACTCACCTTTTGGCTTTGAAAAAACCACACAAAAAACCAAACACATTTTCAAATTACAGTTATGTCTGTAGCTCAGTTACGTCATGGAAGATAAACAGGATAGAAAACTCAAATAAAAGTTACTTTTAAATCTTTCTAAATTCTCATTACAAACCAAATTTTGTATATACAGCTATTTACATTCTACTCCCAATTTTTTTTTAATCCTAGCTTATGGATGTTTACTTCCAACAAGTAAGAAGTCAGAGCTGCTTCATTCAGAAACTCAGAAGTTCACATAATAATCCACGCGAAACAATCCTATAAAAATTTTAAATTTAATCTGCATGGATTTTATTTTTCCTAAACACAGACACAATTTCAATTTTGCTATCAACTGGTGAATCTGTAACATTAGTAATATGCAAAACACTTTCCTGTGTTTAGACCTTCCCCAGAAGGTCTAAAAGCCTTGCTCTTGTGCATTTAGACAAGCTACATGTTTGAGATGTTTCTTTTATTGATTAGTGCTTTTATAAGGCATAGCATATTACTCAAGTTTCTGCTTGGTCATGTGTTCAAGCAATTTAGACATGCTACATGTTTGAGATGTTTCTTTTGTCTTTTCACAGGTTATTGATTAGTGCTTTTATAAGGCATAGCATATTACTCAAGTTTCTGCTTGGTCATGTGTTCAAGCATATTAACAAAGATGTTGAGGGTTGGTATCTTTATTTAAAATGCAAGTTGGTGCTAAACAGAAAGGGCAACAATATACAAATGATATTCATTCAGGGAAAAAAGATGTTCACCTCCCACGGCTCTCTGTGAAATTATCAAGAGGCACGACTATCACTTTTTCCATATTAAAAACTAGGACTGCTTCACTGAAAGTAACATGCAATTCTTAACCAAATAGGTACCTTTTTTATTTTAAATTATTTCACAAAATATTTTTTACTTAACCTGGATTGTTTCCTGTTTGACCTAACATTTTATTCTGGTTCAATGCATAAAACAACTAAACCATAAAGTGCTTAAAAATCATGGTTCAGATTAATTTTTAATGTATAGACCACTCAAAAGATACTATATTTTAAAAGACAGTACCATTTCCAGTATCAAAATAGAAGGCTTTTTACCAAATACTGCAGAAATGTGTTTAAAATTTAAATTTAAATGCATCAATTAAATGTGCTTGTAGCACATTTGTAATAGCTGCTGTAGAAAATAACTCATAGAAGAAACTAATTGATCCTTGGCTTTTTATTTGCTTAAGAGAACAATGATTGGGCTGCTTATTAGTAAAATTCAGATGACTTCAAAATGTTCCAAATATCCTGAAAGAGTATTATAATACTACTCTGTGAGTTCTGACAACAGGCCTATTCATTAAAATACCTAGAACTAAATGTAGCAATAATATAATGATAAAACAAAACCCATGAGGATTGCAATTTCTTACCCACTCGGAAAATAATTTAGTCTCAACTCTTGGTATATCGCTGACAGCTTGAATCATAACAGTATAAACATTCAGTAATATATCCTCATAGTCACTAAAGTCAGGTTCAAATTTAATATTATCTTTCTCAAGGATTAGCCTCAGGATGAAACCAGGGTGTTTGTAGGCTTGGAGTGATTTCTAAGACACACACACACAAAAAAGA